AGTCAGCAAGTAGTGGTACGTTGACGATCAAGCCTCGTGAAACTTTGAGTTACTGACAAAACTTAGAAATGGCAACTTAGTCACTACTTGATGAAGAGGGCGTATGGCGTACCGGAAAGCAAGGCCTCTGCATCGAGCTAAAGGCTGGAAACGCTAGATCGGCCAACGCATTGGTTAAGGGATAGTATCTTCGACCCGAGCGAAGCTTCTTCTCACGCAATACATCACTTGAACCATAAAATCACAACATCGACAAACCGAGACGGTGTATTCAACAAGCTAACATATGCGCACGCGCATCTGCGTTTGACACCAGAGACGCACTATGTACAGCCTATCCGCATCGCTCGACTGTTGATATTCGATTTCGCCCAGCCTCTGCACCACATGTATCGGATCTTCCTCCTTTGCCGAACCGATGTTACGGATGGACTTGTACACTCCTACCGACGAGTACCCGACCAGCCCGCATGCGCCTACATTCAGTCAGCCAGCCAGTCATCATCTATGATAAAGGGCCACTTACCAGCAGCAGGCTTAAAGGCCGCATTCATAACTCCAGTCGCACATCCAGCAGCAAAACCCAGGACACCATTCTTCTCCGCACCATCGATGGGTTTGATTATAAGATCCCTTATACCATCACTGAGTCCGTAACCAAAGCTCTTGAAGCTGACCAGCAGCCCACTCCTCAACCCAGTCACATTCTCATACTGCCGTACCTCCTCACCGTACGCTTTAGGAAGGTTGTGGAATCCTCGAGTAATACCATGCATAACAATCGCCGGGCTCTTCAGACTGGTGGTGATGATGCGTCCGAATCCTTTTGCGGTACCGAGAGCTACTTGGCGTGCCACATGAGGCGAGTCGTTGGTGTCGAGAGGAGGTGATGGGTTAGCAGTCCTGTCCCGCTCCTCTTTGCGTCTTATCTCACGCTGCAGCAGCATTGGTGTTGTTTGTTTTCCCAATTCGACGGGTCCTGCTATGAGACCCAGCATAATTCCGCTTACCACGTCGTAGGTAGTGAGAAATGCAGCGGATACCGGGTCGGTGGGGTCGTGCTTCATGTCTGAGTATTGAGATATGCTGTAGTGTGTGTCAGCGCTAGCTAACCTTTGTTGCATGAAGAGACCACCTACAGATGCAACTCTTTGGGTTGAAGGAGACCCTCTTTAGTGAGCACCGCAGCCGCAAGCGGTGACAGGGCCATGCTCTTCCGCTTTACAAGCCATACTGCTGGTCTGTCGTGAAGGATGCTACATGCTCGTACGCTAGCAAGGCTATCCGTTGTATCACCTTCTGTGAGGTCATGTGTTAAGCCTGGAAGGTTCGATGAACGTGTATGCCGTGGGTTTTCTTGGTCGCTAACATCTTGTTGTATGTCATGCTCGTGCTCTTCTTGAAGACTCCACGGTTCTGGGCTTGCAAGTGGATCGTATGCCGGCGACTGGTCTTGACTGCGTTGCTTTTCGTTTTGTGTCGACTCCGCATCTACCGAGATTTCTCCGCCCGCGACCTGTTGAGTGTATTCTGGGAGGTCCATGGTGTAGAGGTCGGCATTCTCGGCGGTGGGTTCAACATGCACCAGCGAGGATGTGTCAGTGTCTGCTCCAGGATAGTCAGTAATCTCGCATGAGTCTCCAGTGCTCGGAGTACTAACTAGCAGCACTCCTATCGTCCTCGGCCAAGGTCGTGGTTACGGCAGTCATCTTCTAGGACGTAGGTCTGGAATGGTCGAATTGCAGATTGCGCAGCATGAACTGCAAGCAGTATTACTTATGAGCCAACTCTGCCATCTTCAAGAGAAACTTCTCTATAAGGCCCTACTTCGTAGCCACGCGTGCGGAGGTCTTGGGTTTCCGAAACGGTGAACGCTAGGCCCGAAGTGGTAAACCTTGAGAAGGGCGCAGCAGGCGGCCTGAAATGCAACCAAAACCGCCTCGGCGGCCTATCATCAAGGCCGTGAGAATACTAGCGAAGTTGAGCACTTGGTGTTACGCTTCTTGTGAGGGTGTACTTTGCGGGGCCCGCAAGCTCCACCTGATCGCGTAACACCATGAGGTGTTTAGGTGTTGTGTGAATCAAGGCAATGTGAAGACCACGACGAAGAGTCGTTGACTGTCTTGGTATCCTACGCTGTAGATCCACTTACCCACGCGATCAGAGCGTATGAGACATGCTTGCAAGGTGCTTTGACAAATTCACGCGTTCTATGGCCTCACAAGGTTTTTGGGCAATGCGAAAATATCTTGTTACCGACGGCGATACAACCAGCCAGTAATTGCATTGAATTTGTAACTACAGTTTTAAAGGGTCGTGCTCATAAACATAAGCGGACAATTGAGGGTGTTGCCCATACCGGTTAGGTTGACGCGTCAAGATGATGACGTAATGAAGTTTGCGCGTTCGGCATCGACAGAAGTTACACCAAACACGCGACTGCCTTCTTCCTCCTGCATGCGCACAATGCGATCTCCTGCCATTGTCACATGATCGCGATAAGCACCAGCAGCTTTCGACGCTTGATAAAGCGACGGATTAGGTCCCGCAAGCCACGTTTCAGCCCTCTCCTACCGCGACAGAATCCGCAAGCCATCCATCCACGCGACGCTATCTTCGCCAGATCCTGCACCTGGAAATCGATACAACCACCTTTCTGTCATCTTTGTGTTCTACCGTGCCACCGGGTGTTGTGCCGTTGGATACTGAGCCGTTGGATACTGAGCCGCCGGATACTGAGCCGTTGGATACTGAGCCGCCGGATACTGAGCCGCTGGATACTGTGCTCCTGGATACTGAGCCGCTGGATACTGTGCTCCTGGATACTGTGCTGCTGGATGCTGAGCTCCTGGATATTGAGCTGTTGAATAGTAGGCCGTCGGATATTGATCTGTAGGATTATTTGCATAGCCAGGTGCAGGGTATTGACTGGAAGTGTGTGCGGGCCATTGGAGAGGGGGCCTCTGAGAACTCAGTTGTGTTTCGTCGCCGTCATCTAGCTGATCTCCGTTGTCAGGATACTGGTCATCGCCCGAAGGATAGCCATCGCGGTGACCGCTTCTTTCATGTCGGTTGCGATCGTTCCGATCGTCCCGCTGTCGATCTCTGTCATTGTCTGACATGCGGTACCTGGGTTTTGTCTCAGTATTTCGTTCGGACATCGATACTAAATACTCACGGGACGGGTATGTAATGACTGGTTGTGGCGTATCCAGTAAGGTGGGATGCGAAGTGTACAGCTTTCCTTGCACTATTGATGAGCATCTCCGCTTCTCTCGTTGACGGCACTTCCCAGATTGTTTTCAAGACAACGTCTTTGTTCATTCCCCATATTAGCCTGTAATCGCTATTATAGTGGTCCGATCGCGTCCATTCTGAGCAGTGGAGCCATGTTCTCATGTCCTCGTCGACGTCCAGCGGTGGACCCGGATGACCCCACAGAGTTTCGAGAACTGTACCGTCGATGCCATACTCGTACTTATACCAACGGTCATAGTATGTGGAAAATGTCCATCCTTCGCCGAAAGGATGCTTAATCCCTCTATCTTCAGCCTTCCTGAATTTGGACCATACAAGTTCACGAGACGCGTCGTACTTGTAGAATCGCCTGTTTGAATTCGACCACGTCCAGGGTATCCGGGGCATCTGAGATCCCATCGCAATGGGTGGCGGAGCGTTACACGGGGCGCGCCCCGTTATATCGCCTGGCGGGGGATGCAGCTCACGTGGCGAAAGGCAGTCGCGCTTGCAAATGACCTAAGGCTGGAAGACTGTGATTCGCGCTTTATCTGATGTACGGCATCATACAGATGAGGTACGTCTACCCGTTGCGACACCAGGAGTAGTTGGCTGGCTTACCTTACACAGCTGCCCACCTACCTCACAAACCGGTCAAGCTGAAATACGCTGCCGGAACTTCGAAGAACGTGTGTCATGCGGTCTCCTTGATGCCTGGCACGAGAGGGCTGTCCCGTTTTGCCGATACGAGAGGGCGCATCTTATTCGCAGAAAAACGCCTCTTCATGCACGTCTGAACCAACCCAGGCGGTTAGCGTGGCCCGGCTAGGATGCACATCGAGTAGTGCTGTAAGCATTCAGCCTTACTGCTACCTAGACATCCATCACCTTCTCGCGTGTTTCAGACATATACTACCGGTGCGTGTCAAGGTCAATCTTTCGTAAGGATAGGATAGTCTGCAACAAGCTCAACCCGAAGCGACCTAAGAGAGAACGCGACTCGAATGAAGCGAACATTCCGTGGATTATCCATCATCCATTGTACATCTTCGTTCACCGGATCAGTTACTCTGATAAAGCGTGTCATTTCTCGTCATCTCTTATCCTGAGTCCTTACACCTCTGAGTCTCGGCGCATTGTCGAGTGGTTTTGACATCACAAGTCCGACTGTTGTATTGCGTATTCACTGATGTCACTTCTGAGCACGCCGCAGACGGGACGGTGGAGGGATCATAGCGAGAACCATCGTAAGTATACGTTCGATTTGACGACCACATATTCACAAGCTACTAGACTTACAGACGTTGCAACACGATTCTTGGCGAGAAGCACAGTGGTTCAAAGTCGGCATTGCTATCAGTCTTACTCTTGCCTCGCCCTACGTACTACGAATCGTCCTCAGTACAATCACATATGTCAAGCTCTACCTTTTCCCAGCGAAGACGCCAACTCACCGCGACGATGAATCCGCCCGCCACCTTGTTCCACCGAGGACTGTGAGCCCTACAAAGGGTAAGACAGGAGGATTGAGGTATTGGGTGGTTAGTCTTGTCGCCCAAGACCCTTGCTGGGAAGCTCGACATCGATTCTTTGGTTCCTTCCTCCTTGCATCGTTTTTGCTGGTACTGTATCAATCCATTGTGGGGATAGTCCTGACAGACAACGTCGCAAGAAGCAGATCTGCCTTGCTGAAGTCGGATACATGTGGCCTTTACGAATACGACAACGAGAAAGCCGGCGAAGAGGAAGCTTCAAAAGCAGATATGCTCATGGTGGGCAGAGAACGACGTGCAGCGGCCTATGCGCAGGAGTGCTATAACCACGATTCCGATACGAACGTCAAAGCCACGAATTGCGACTTCTTCTATAACTCAACCATCGGATATGGAGTGCAAGAAGATAAATGTCCCTTTGACAGGACCGACATATGCGTTGATGGCTATCAACCCGGCTCGGCTATCACTTTCGATACCAACTGGGTCAATTCAGGAGTATTAGGTATCAACGAGGAACTCATGCACAAATTCCGACGCAAAACAACTTGTGCGCCACTAAGCGCAGAGCGGCCTTTTGTGCAACACTTCACCAACAGCGGGACGGGCGAGTCCGGGTACAAGTACTTTTATGGGTCGCTCTACGACACGAGGAACTGCTCGGACGAAGTGCATGCTCCTCCAACTGTGCTCTCCGAATACACTATGCGTATAACGGGCCATCCGTTTGACTGGCAAGCGCCAGTATACAAAGTCAAGTGAGTTTCCAGACAAACCAAGACTCAGCTGTTAGCTGTGCCTAACAAGCTCACAGTACATACGCCACCTCGTTGCTCGACCCGACATGCGACTTCTACCAGCCGTCACCCGATCTGCAAGCTCCAGGTTTATTGCCACACCGAAGCAGGACCCTGAGCCTCATCTTCGTGACAGCTCTGCGCATTCTTTACACCAAGCGCAGTAACGACCCCGTCTTCCCCGCCGACAAAGCCTTCCAGTACCCTGGAGACAAAGGGTTCTACTACTACAACTCGCAGCCAAAAGCACGAGCATTTGCCTGCATAGACGAGACCATCTTCTGTGCACCATCGGGCTCTCCATGCTGGCATGCGAACGACCCAATACCAGCTGGCGGGTCCAATACATCAACCTACTGGTTCTTGAAGTACGCTTTGAAAAGCTCAAATACCTATGATGCAATCAAACTGCGTCTCGGTAGCGGCCTACTAGCTCAGCAGCGCGTTGGCCAGTCTCGATCGATGCCATTAGCTGACAATCATTGGCAACTGGAAGCCGAGCATCTCTTCAAGACATCTCTCGCAAGAGCTCAGTTTGACGCTTGGAGCATTGCAAGTGCAGAGGATCACGACAACCCAACATACACTGACACACTTCCTGATGAGGCGAGGGGAAACATGTGCGGTCTCTTCAAGTTCCAAGCATCTGGCTACATCAACATTCGTATACTGCCATTTGTATGGTTGATGCTAGCCTGGCCGCTGATGTTGCTCTTGAGCATCGAGATCAAGACATATGCACAATCATGGTATACGATGAAGTCCTGGATCGTCAGTATGAAGAATCCAGACATCAACCCTATCACGGGTTCAACAGCAACAACAGCCACAGCTACGAACAGCAATGCTGATGACAACACCACTCAGGATCCAAGCACCCTCACACTACCGGCTACCGCGACCACATCTTCGCGGGACGACAACGCAACTGCGATAAATGATGGCAGTTCGGCGACTATGACTCAGTCGCAAGAGCTCAACGCCCCAACTACTGTAGCCTCTCAGCGGCCATATACGGCAAACAGTGGGTCGCCGCTCATCGCCACATCTTCAAGAGCTACATCGTCAAATACGAATCGTGACTACGGAACCTCAAGCGCTCTGAGTAGTACACATCCTCCGCATACCACGAACCAGGATGAACACTTAGAATGGTCACCTCTGTTGATACACAGTCCAATTGTGCTAGGTATGTGGATGTATAGGAAATTGAGACAAGGGAGGAATGGCGGAGGAGATGGCAGTGAAACAGTCTGATGAGCGCACAATGGCTCTTCCAGGTTATGATCAAACGCGAGACGAGACACCGAGGCGGACATGCAGGCACGTAGAGCAGGTAGACATCAGGATCACAATCTCCTTTTAATAAACCATGTCTGGCTTTTATACTCCCATCTATCATTCAAGAAAAGGGATAGATACCTAACGCACCTCATCAGCGCGTAACATCTCCCTTCCCAAAAGCCGCACCATCCCTTTCGCCATTTCATTTCCCACACAGTAGTTTCCCTAACTCCGGCTGGCCATGCCAGGAAAACGCCCAAATAATACGCATCGAAGAAATGTGGGGGGTACGATGATGTAAGACGAAAACCCAACCCATGATGATGAAAACCCCATTACTCATTACTCAAGATATCCACCGGAAGCTACGTATCGGATCGGGACTAACCGGCTAGGCCAAGTAGCCGAGCTCGTCTGCCTCCAGACGCTCCAGGTATTCCTTCTCGAGCAGGATGTCTATGCACTTCTTGATGTCGGGGACGCGGGGCATGAATCGGGTCTTGATCTGCTGGATGGTCTCTGAGACGAGCTGCTGGTGCTTCATCTTCTTGCGGGACTTCATGATACGCACGATAGCGGACTGTTGATATGTTAGCGTGCTGTAATGTGGGGGAGATAGAAGTGGGAAATACATACCTGAATGAGTAGCTTTCGGTCCTCCTCAATCGTCTTGTGCGTATCCTCCGCCTCGGCCTTTTGCTCAGACTTGATACCGATGTTCAAGTTCATCTTCACCTTCTTGGTCTTGAAGCCGGTGTTGAGCTTGTAGGAAGTACCAGACTCAGGCTTTGCGCCCTCGGGTTGGGCAAGCAGAACCTTGGCCTTGATGAAGACACCCAAGCTAGGATCGAGAGTCTCCTTGTTCAGCTTGGTGGACTCAGCAATATCATCGTAGGTGACGGTGTCACTGTCGTTGAACAGCAACATGATGGCCATCTGGTAGGTCGAGACCTGGAAGGTTGGTGAAGTCTTCAGGTTCGCAACCTTGCAGTAGTTGGCCTTGACCTCACCCTTGCACAGCTGCCATAACCAGGTAAGCTTACGACCTTGGTGCTTGTGGTTGTAGAAGCGAGAGAAGCGGTCGTAGGTCTGGACGATAAGTTGCGGTGGGGTAAACGGTGTGGTGGGTGGGTTTAGTGGCCAGAAACCGGTACCGAGAATGTGGTATGAGGCATCGACGTTGGTCTTCATGTCTGACTCGTCCAAGTTGTTTGACTGCCACTCCTTGAACGCGGTGTTGAGATCCTTGGAAATCTGCATATCCTGGAACATGCGTTGTAGCTTGTTGGTGTATTCGAAACCACAGGCCTCCTTCAGCTTCGAGATCATGCTGGTCTCGGCGTCGTCTGATGCAGAAGTAGTCTGGACTAGACGCTTGGCCAACATACGCGAGTAGAACTTCTGGAACACGTCCTTGTCTTCGATGTACTTGAAGACAGTCATGATCTGTGTCAGGAGCTTCTCCATGTCGTCTTCTTCGCTCATCTTGGCGTTGGAGCGCTTCAGCAGAGTATCGGTGTACTTTGCGAGAAGCTCAGGCGACTTGTTGGAGCCAGATTTGCAGATCTTGTTTCTGTTGACGAACTCGCGGCAGGCGTTATCTAACGAGCGAACGAACTCTGACTCTCCGTTGAACGCCTTGTTGACGAGCGCCTGGTACTGGGTGTGGACCTCAAGAAGGGCCTCGACGTACACCTTTGGCTCCAGGCTGTCTCCATCTTGCGCGATCTTGTCAACTGCAGCCAAACCCGCCTTGCGGACGTGGTTCTCGAACCGAAGACGCAGAGGATCAAGACCCTCAGGAATGCGGGCAAGCAGCTTGTACATGCGGCCTAGGTCCTCCTCCTTGTCGTGGTCGAGAAGGATCTGGAACTCCTCACGAAGTGCTTGCGAGTGGCTTGTGATGAGCGACTGTTCGCATGTCCGCATCAGAGGTGACATGATCTCGTTGAGCAGGTAGAGTGGGACGCGCTCCTTCTCCTCTTCCAGACGGATCTCCGCCTTCTTCATGTATTCAACCACGCTGTTTTCTGCCAGAAACTGCTTGGACTCGTTGTCGTAGTATTGCGCGGTGGCCTCTAGGAAGGGCTTCTCGAAGTATTCCTTGTAGACATCCAGGGTGGACTTGGAGCTGTCGGCCTCGTCCAGACCCAGCGATACGAAAGAGTCGACGACCGACTTGATCTGCGATTGCTCAATAGTCTCGCCATTTCGCTGCTTCTCCACTAGCTTCAGGACCGAGCGCATGACGCTCTCCTGGCTGCCCGTGAACATATCCTCCTTCCAGCGCACCAGATGGAGTGTGTAGATGTCGTAGATGTGCTTCTTTCCCTCGTCCATCTCACGCTTGACCCAATGACGGTTCAAGTACCGGAAGAGATGGTTGTTGTACTGGCCAGCTGTCGTGTAGCGGTTCCACTCTTTGATGTAGAAGTGGAGGAGCGCCTCGTCGACATGTTGCCGCGAAGCCGCCTGCACTTCGGAGAGATGCGCCTTCAGGTATTCGATCAGGTGCTGGTAGAGGTCCTCTCCGAGGAGATGGGCACCTCCGCGGTTGTTGGCGGCGTGGAACGACGAGCCGGCGACGGCTTTTTGCGCGGTACAGAAGTTGTGGATGGCGGTGTAGAGACCCATGTACGTCTTCATGTCGACACCTTCGCGCAGGTTCGTCATGATCTTGTCGACACCGGCTTCGAGGTACTTCCATCTGTGAGCTGTTAGCATCTGGTTGAGCTCTACGTCATCTTCAGGTTGGGGGTGCTTTAGTGTAGCTTGTCCTGTCATGGCTGTTTCCGCCTGCGCTCGCCATAGCGGCGCAGCTTTCTCACGAGTTGAACGCGGCGGACACCAGACCCGCCATTCGAGACGTCACTGCAACCCGACTAAAACTCCGCGAGTTGCAACGCTAGACAGAAGAAGATGCGGGAAGTGATAGAGAATAACTTACGTGGCGTTGACATCGTCCTTGGCCGGGACGGGTGGCATACTGGAAGACATGGTGGGTTGTGTCGTCGCGTGCTCTTGGGCACTTTTCTGAGGCGACTTCTTGCGCGTGAGGAACTTTATTGTCGGAACCGCCGTGTCACAGACAAGCGGATTGTCAAGCAACACCGGAGAGGGCGCTTGTTTGGTGTCCTTTCACAAGGGTGGATGGTGATAAAGGCGGGTTCGGTGGAGGGCGCGGTGAAGTGGTGGGGAGTAATGGTAGCGGGCGGGGAGGGCTTAAGATGTACCGAGCGGTCGATTTCCGCGGATTTTGGTATGCGCCGTCAAGTTAGGCGACACACGGAGGGGAGGGAGAAGAGAAAAGTGAAGGTGCCGGACGAGCAAGGCGGCGACGTTTAGAGTCACGTCGTTGTCGGTTCATACAGTTCAGGCAGCACCGAGCTTGGGTCTTGGCGTTTTACAAGGGTCCCGTTCACGCAGCCTTGCACTAGCCTCCACAGTGCTCAACGCGAAGGCAGCAGAACCTTTGACAGCGAAGCATGCCAGCATTACGGTTCTTTCGCCCACTATTCCCTATACACAAGGGATCAGCGAGTCGTGCTGTTGGGTCATAGTAGTGGCGATGTTATGCGGATATGACGATACATCTCATGCTGCTGCGGTACCGCTCATCACCATTTTCGTGTGATTTGGACTCAGTGGAGATCTTGCGATACTACATTTGTTACTATGAGCTATCCCAAAAGACTTTTAGGTTGGTTCCCCACGCGATACTATCTGCGCTTGTCCATGGCGAACTCTACACTACTGGTGGCAAATAATACCTAGGTAGTGATGGTCACTCTAGGATCTTCAGCTACGAACTCAAGACTTCCACTACGGAAAAATAAGTAAATGCTCACAATGGAATACCGAATTCACAATTGCAGAACAATAGACGTTCCTCGCAAATTCGTCTCGGCGTTTTGATCGATGACGTATTTGCAGGATCATCAGATGCCATCTTATATCAGAAGTTGGGATAGCAGTCTTCCTCCTTGCCAAAGTATCCTACGTCAAAACCACTGAACCAAAAATCCAGCAATTCGTCTTGGAAACAACACACCAAAAAATGCCATCTCTAAACCTAACCCCCCTCACCTCCCTCCGCCTGTCAGCCCACTACATCCCCGCCCACTCCCTCATCCCCAACACAACCCCCCACAACCACCCCCTCTACATCTACCACTCCGCCTTCCCTTCCTCCACCCCACCCTCAACCCTCGAATCCCACCTCCTTGCCAACAACCTCACTCCCCAGTGGCGCTACACAATGTACACCACAACGCACTACCACAGCACCACCCACGAGATCCTCTGCATCTACTCCGGCCGCGCGACCCTCCTCTTCGGCGGCGAATCCAATCCAGGGCGGGTGGAAACAGAGGTGAAAGCTGGGGACGCGGTGGTTGTGCCGGCGGGGGTGGGGCATAGGTTGGTGGAGGATAAGGAGGGTGGGTTTATGATGGTGGGAAGTTATCCCGAGGGGTGTGGGTGGGATATGTGTTATGGGAAGGAGGGGGAGGAGGGGATGGCGGAGAAGGTGGAGGGCCTGGGGTGGTTGGAGAGGGATCCGTTGTATGGGGTGGGAGGACCGGTGACGTGGGGGAGGGAGACGTTGGAGAGGTTTTGTAAGGGGGAGAGAAGTGAGTTGTGAGCTGTGAGGCTGACG